GCGGCCCAGCACCCTGACACCCCATGCTATTTAATGGTGTTCCCAGCTGACCTGTTCCCTACTGAGTGATTTATGAGATTTAATTGATTTAAAATTAGTGGTTAGGCACCTAGAAGAAGATGTAGGTGACATCAGTGCTCATATCCATTCTTTTCCTGTCCCTTTTCCTTGATGGCGGGAGCAGTGTCCCAGCAAATGAAGAACCTGGTCTCTAATTATTCAGTGAACCCATGAACAGGAGCTGAGATACCTCAGTGAGAATGCAGCAGTCTGGTGGCCCTTAGAGGACAGAAGATGTTATAAAATATCAGCCGTGTGGCTGGGCGCGGTGTCATACACCTGTAATCCCAGCAGCTCAGGAGGTTGAGTCAGGAGGATTTTGAGTTCAAAGCCAGACTCAGCAATGGTGAGGCTCTAAGCAACTCAGGGAGACCCTGTCTCTAAATAAAACACAAAATAAGGGCTGGGGATGTGGCTCAGTGGTCGAGTGCCCCAGGTTCAATCCCTGTACTCCCCCCCCCAAAAAAAATCAGCCATGTGACAATAAACAAATAAATGATTTGTTAAAAAATAAACATGCAGCATGTCTGAGGACAAGTACAGCAGAGCCAGGGGACAGCGGGCAGGGTGGCCTGGTGACGGATAGGCTGGCACGGAAACAGAGACCCTAATAACTGGATGGAGGGCGTGTGGTTCATGGGAGGAAGAGTGTTGCAGACAGGGGAACAGAACAAAGGCTGGACAGAGAATGGGTGACACAGTAAAGGGACAGCAAGAGCGGCTGTGTGGCTGGAGCTGAGGGATAGAGGGGACAGGGTAGGTAAAGGGCGGGAGGGGGAGTGAGGAGGGCCTTGAGAAAGAAGTTTGGCTTTAGCTGTGAGGGGGTGGGATATGGATGGATGAAGGGGGTGGAGCTGGGGAGTGACAGTTTCTGACAGATCGTGGAAGGGTCCCTCTGGCCTTGGTTGCACAAGAAGCACTAATAGAGGACACAGGATGGAGAAGTCCCCAAAGATGCAATGCATGACTTCACCTTCACCGGCCCCCACTCTGCAGTCCTAAAGGGACGGGTGGTCTGGCTTTCCTGATGGCCACATCTGCCTCCCTCTTTTTCTGCTCCACCTCTGCCTCCTGGGCTCAGAAGCAGGAAGGGAAAGGCCTGGTCTCCAGGGGGCTCCAGAGAGCCAGATGAAGTGTTGCCCCACAACCAGGCCTGTGTCCATGTGGGCATGGGTTGTGTGTGTGTGTGTGTGTGTGTGTGTGTGTGTGTGTGTGTGTGTTTGGTGTCATGCGTGTGTGTATCTGTTCATCCCTGGAACGAAATTTGAGAGAGGGTGAGTTTCTCTCTGGAACTTCAACTCAACTTCTTTGACCCCTACATGCCCACCAGTCTCCCGGGTCAGCATAGGTGACCCTGGTGTCTCTCTCCTCTGTGCCATGCTCTCACAGGTCAGAGACCTGTGCTCCTTCACCTCTGACCCTACCCCCACTCCATGCTCACCTGCCCCCAGTCCCCTTTCCCAAGACTGCCTCCTGCTGGCCAGACCAAGAAGTCCATGCATGGCACGGGTTTCATAAAGAAGGCACCAATGGACCAGAATAGTCCTCTTCCCTCCCACTTTGAGGTGAGGATCCTCTCCCACTCCAGGACCATAACACTAAATCCATGCGTTGTGTCAGATTAGGAATCATGAAGTTAAGGTTGACAGATACATGATGGCACTGTCATCTCCCGTTTCCGCAGCAGGTACTACCTATGAATCACACCACTCTTGCTCCTGAGCCTGGAATTAACCTTGGAATCTTTCCTTTTTTTTATGTTTTTATTGGTGCACTACAGTTGTGCATAGCAGTAGGATTCATTCACTTACGCACCTGATACAACAGTATAATTTGGTCAATTTCATTCCCTAATATTTCCCTTTACCCTCCACTGCTCCCTTCCCCTGGTCTCTTTCCTCTACTCTACTGATGTCCCTTCAATTCTCATGAGAGCCCCACCTAACTTTTTTCCTTTTTCCTCTCTAAAGAAAACATATGACCCTTAACTTTCTGAGTCTGGCTTATTTTGCTTAACATAGCAATCTCAAGTGCCATCCATTTTCCTCCAAATGACAAAATTTCTTTCTTCTTTATGTCTGAATAAAACTCCAGTGTGTAGGTACACCACATTTTCTTTATCTGCTCATCCACTGATAGAAACCTGGGCTGGTTCCATAGTTTGGCTATTGTGAATTGTACTGCTCCAAACATGGGTGTGCAGATATGGCTAGAGTATGCTGACTTGAATTCTTTAGAATGGTCATATGGTAGTTCAGTGCCTAGGCTTTTGAGGAAACTCCATAGTGATTGTACTAATTTACAATCACACCAACACTGTAAAAGTGCTCCTATTCCCAAGCCCTCCTCTCCCTCATCGATTATTACTTGTACTCTTGATGTTTGCCATTCTAATTGGAGATGAAATCTCAGTATAGTTTTGACTTGCATTTTTCTAATTGCTAAATATGTTGAACATTTTTTCACCTATTGGTTGGCCATCTGTATTTCTTCTGGAAAGTGTCTGTTTAGTTCATTTGCCCATTTATTAATTGGGTTACTTGTTTTCTGGTGCTAAGCTTTTTGAATTCTGTATATATTATGGATATTAATCCTCTGACAGAGAATAGCTAGCAAAGATTTTCTCCCCTTCTGTAGGCTCATCTCTTCAAGTTCTTAGTTGTTTCCTTGGCTGAGTGGAAGCTTTGTGATTGGATGCCATTCCATTTATTAATTCTTGGTATTATTTCCTCAGCTTTAGGAGTCCTAATGAAGAAGTCGCCTGTGTCTATATCCTGGGGTGCCGACCCCATGTTTTCTTCAGCAGTTGTGTAGTTTCTGGTCTAATTCCTAGATCTTTGATCCATTAGGAGTTGACGTTTTGCAGGGTGAGAGATAGGGATCTAGTCTCATTCTTCCTCATTCAGATAACAAAGTTTTCCCAGCACCGTTTGTTTAAGTCTGTCAAGGATCAGATGACTGCAGATGTGTGGGTTTTCTGGAATCTTTCTTAACTCCCTGCTCCCAACAGTACTAACGATGGGCCTGGGTAAGTAGGGATAACCAGTATCTGACATCCCTACTCCAAGGTCTTCCCATTTCCCCGCTGGGGGACTTTAATTCTATGACTTCAGTGATAGAACTTGGGGCACCTCTATCAGCTTGCCGGGAAGTAAAAGGAAGAGATGGGAGACACCACTTGTTTCCACAGAACAGGCCCTGTTCAAGTGGGCGTCCTAGGCCTTGACCCCCGAGCACCCAGACCAGGGGCCAGTGCCCAGGGAAGGATGCAGGGGGGTGCTCAGCAGGGATGAGCCTCAGCTTTAGAGTCTCCCTCCCCCGACCTGGTGGGCTGTGGGACCTAGGGAAGGTCAGTTAACCTCCCTCACCCTGGTCTTGCCCTGTGCCGCGCACCCCACTGGGAGATGAATGGGTAACACCTGTGAGTGTTCTTTGAGATTTATAGAGTGTTCTACGTGTGAAAGGGGTGGAAATGAGAAAAGTCTTATTCTCCAGATTCACTTCACTAATCTCAAAGTCTTGGCTGGTGGCAAGTTCCCACCCCCTAAGTCCCATGGATCCCCAGTTTGGTGATCCTGTGAATCCAGGCAGAGGTGTGGCCTGGATGAGTGGCAGGCCAGCCACATCCTGAAAATGCCTTGTTTAGAAAGGAGTTCCTGAGCAGGCATCCAAGGTCCTAGTTCTAATGTGTCCCCGGATCCACTGTGCCCCTGGACAAACCTCTCAGCCTCTCTGGTGCTGTGCCAAGTGCTTCTGCCTGGCTAGATCCTGCTCATTCTCCCAAGGTCCTATGAGGGTAAATGATGGCAGACAGGAGGACACTCAGAAAATCAAAGTGTCATCCTAGTTGGTTTTCAGTTTCAAATGACAAAGTACCTTAAACTAGGTGACTTATAAAGAAAAGAGGTTTATTAGCTCAGAGTTCTAGAGGTCTGAGAGCTTGGTGCCAACATCAGCTTGGCTTCTGCTTAGGGCTCAAGGTGGATGGCAACACAGGGGTCAACACAGGTGGAAGCTTTGCCAGCCTGGCCAGTGGGCATGTGCAGAAGAGGCAAAACATTAGGCGTAAAGTTGCTTCAGGATGACTTGCTCTCCAGACAACTGATCCAGTCCTGTGAGACCCAACTCAGTCTTGTGAGACCTATTCCAATGTCTCAAGAAAGACAGGAATCAATTCTGTCTTTGACGACCTAACTCTCTCCCGAAGGTCCCATCACCTCTCAACACTGTTGCATTGAGAATCCGTTTTCAGCTTGAGTTTGGTGCAGACAGACGACCTCCCAACCACAGCACAGTCATATTCAGGCTCCACACAGTCTTCCCCCAAGAAACAATCAATTAAGTCAGCATTGACTTAACCAATCAAGGAGGACCCTGGAGGCCAAGGCCAAAGGATTGTGGGACTTTCTGTCCACTTTCCCTCCGCTCCCCCAACCAGGCAGTGGCCCTGCTAAAGCCAGACAGAGCCTTGCACATGGATTCAGAAGGAGGTGGTCAGCCAGCAGAGCTGGACCCAGGCTGGAGCAGGTGGTGGGAAGTCCCTGACTCCTTAGCAGGCAGACATGAGAGAAAGGAGAAAGAGAGAGGAGGGAAAGTAGAAGGGGAAGAAGCAAATTTGGAGGGCGGAAGGGGTGACGGAGGAGGAAGGGAGCTATCCTTGCCCCCTTCGGTCTTTTTCCTCCCAGAGTAAGACTTAGGCCTCCTCTATCAGTGACAGGCTCCTCCAGTGCAGGTGCTGGGCCTCACCCATCAGATGGGGGGCTCCCTCAGGCGGGGACTTTGTCACTACCTCATACAAGGGCTCCTCAAAGACAGCGAGCCCACTGGCTTCACAGCCAAGACCCTCTCAAGTAGATGACTCACCGGTGGGTCTTGAAACACCCCCGGGGCCCTGTGTTCACCTGCCTGATGCCCCTCTTCTCTCCCCTTCCCCCACCCAGGGTTCACAGACACCTTCAACATGGACACCAGGAAGCCCCGGGTCATCGCTGGCTCCAGGAGTGCTTTCTTTGGCTACACGGTGCAGCAGCATGACATCAGTGGCAAGAAGTGGTGAGTGAGAGCTGCTGCCCGGGCCCAGCCCCGTACCATTCCCCGCCCAGCGCCCTCTATCCTACTCCGGACCTCAGCGGCTGCCCAGTCTGACCTCACTCTCTAGGGTCAATGACTTGACTTCTTGTCCCACCAGGTCAGGGGCTGATCAGCTCTGCCCTGACCGTGAGACCTGGAGCATTCAGTTTCTCAGGGCTCTGTCTTCTTGTCTACGAAATGCGAATGAACAGCTCCTCACATTCTAGGTCATGTGACAAACGGTGGCAGGCACCTGGGGACCAAGAACTTACCCCCTCGCATCCTGCCTCAGGGACTTACTCTCATCAGTGGAGGCAGCATCTCTGCTCCTGTCTCCTTGGAGAGCCGCTGGGGGTCTCTGGAGAGATCTCTGTGTGTTCACAACCCAAACAGGGCAACAGTGAGACAGAGAGAAGTAACATGAGACCAAGAGACGGCAGGACCAGAAAGATCCCAGGACCCCTCAAGTCAGGGGCAATCAGGGGGAGGGAAGGATCCACTTCCAAATTTCAGATCACTTTATTGCAGCATATTTTACCATATAATTCACTCATTTTGAGTCTGCAAGTCAACGATTTTTTTTTTTTTTAGTAAATTTACCAACTTGTACCATAATGACACAAATCAGAATATTTTCATGACCCTAAGAAGATCCTTCTTGCACACTTACTGTTAATTGCCCTTCTCCTCCCTGGTTGGTCTATAGTTGACAGAAGGCAAAGCTTTCCTTCCTTCCTGGGATGGAAAGGGCCAGGCCTTGGTGTTACCCTTTTCGAAGCCTATATTAGTCCATTTTCTGCTGCAATACTAAAGTGCCTGAGGTTGGGGACCTTGTAAAGAAAAGACGCTTGTTGAGCTCATGGTTTTGGAAGCTGAATCCAAGGTCAGGTTGGTCTCCTTGGTTCGGCCTCTGGTGAGGACCTCCTGACTGGTGGCGTCTCCGTGGTGGGAGGATTGCCGAAGGGATCACACAGCGTGACAGGAAGCCAGGCTCACTCTTATATTGAACACTCATTCTCTCCAGAACTCACTCACTCTGCAAAGCTAGTGTTAATCCCTTCCAAGGGGGATGTCCCAGTGACCTAATTACCTTGCACTAGGCTCCCTTCCTTGGAAGTTCCACGTTGCCTGCACTGCCACACTGGGACCAAGCTTCCAGTGGGGGTGAACCGCATCCAAACCATAGCAAAGCCCCTTCAGGGGGACCACCCAAACACTCATGATGAACGWTCTACATATGGAACATTTCCTGCACCCCACCCCTAGGCAGTGTCCCTCTGGGTAACCACTCTTCTGACTCCTGTCACCATAGATTTGTTTTGCTGTCTTGAACTTCACATAGATGATATCGTACCATAGATACCCGTTTATATTTGGCCTCTTTTACTCAATATTGCGTCTGTGAGGTTTAACGTGTTGCCGAATTTATGATATATACTTCACATTCTTCGTTCTTATGTATTCCATTGCTCTGTACCATAATTTATTTATTTACTCTGCTACTGATGGGTATTTGGGTTGTTTCCATTTGGGGTTATTTCTATTGGAGTTGCTAGAGCCTTCTCATTGGTGGACATGTGTCCTCATTTTTATTGGATATAGACCCAGGGTTGGATTTGCATAGATAAAGGGTAGGTATATGATCAACTTTAGGAGGCTATGCCAGGTACTTTTTTTTTTTTTCCCAAAGTAGCTTGCCAATTTAAACTCTATCTAGGAAAACAAGAGAGTTCTAGTTGTTCTGCAGCCTCACTAACCCATGGCATTGGCAGTCATTTTTATTTTAGCTAGGCCAGTGGTGTGAAATGGTATCTCACCTGGATTTTGTTTGCATTTCTGTATTTACTGATGTTGTTGAACAACTTCTTATAGATCTATTGGCCATTTTGATATTTGCTTTTGTGAAGTGTCTGATGAGGTGTTTTGATCCTCTTTAAAGTTGTGTTATATACCTTTTTCTTTTTGATTTATAGAAGTTTATATACTCTCTGTACAAATGCTTTGTCAGAGAGAAGCACTGAAAATATCTCTTCCGCTATGGAGCTTGCTTTTCATTTTCTTAATGGTATCTTCAGATGAACAGAAGTTCTTAACTTCACTAAAGTTAAGTCTATCAATCTTTTTATGCTTAGTGTTTTTCATAGGTCCCATTTAAAAAAAAAATTTTTTTTTTGCCTCTTCCCAAATCATAGATATACTGCTCTGTTTTCTTCTAGAAGTTTGATGTGTTTACTTTCACACTTAGGTCAATGATTCATCTCAAATGAATTTTTTGTGGAAGGTGCAAGATAATTTAAGTCAATTGTTTTTGTTCTCCCCATATTGATGTCCAATAGGTCTGGCACCATTTGCTAAAAGATCATTTTCCCCCCTGGATTCTAGTGTTGTGTTTGTTTAAAATGGATGACCATGTATATGTGGGTCTATTTTTTTTATTCCCCTCCATTCTATTTGTCTATTTATCTAAACTTGCATCAGTGAAAGACTGCCTTGTTACTGTAGCTTTAAAATAAGTCTTAAAGCCAGGAATTATGAATTCTCTGCACTTGTTTTTCTTTGATAAGATTATTTTATCCATGCCAGGTCCAGTATACTCCATAGAATTTTAGAATCAGCATGTCATTTTTTCCCAATAAAATTTGCTAAGATTTTTATTAGAGTTGCACTGAATTTATAGATAAATAAAATCTTCACAGAACTGAATCTTCTGATCCACAAAACTATATCCCTTCATGTATTCATTTTTTAGAAATTTCTCTCAATAGTGCTTTGAAATTTTCAGCGTGAAAGTCTTGAATATCTTTTGCAACATTAATTCCTGCACATTTTATGCTACTAAAAATGAAACATTCTTATTTTCTAGTACATAAAAATAAAACCACATTTTTATATAATGACATTTTAGCTTACGACTTTACCAAGCCATCTATTATTTCTGTTAGCTTGCTTGTAGGTTTTTTGGATTCTCTGTGTACACAATCATATCCTATGAAATAATTACAGTTTCATTTTTTCTTTTCTATATACCTTCACTTCCTGCCTAATTGCAATGTCCAGAACCTTCAGAGCAAGGTTGAATAGAAGTGGTGATACTGAACGTTCTTCTCCAGTATTTCATGATTAAATGAAATCTGAACTACAAAGTAGTCACTTATTTATTGTAGAAACCTTCAGATTGAAGATGTTTTCTTCTATTCCTGGTTTTCTGAGGTTGGATTTTCAAAAATTGTGAACAGTGTTGACGTGTATCAGATGCTTTTTCTATAACAATTGATATCATCTGGTTCTTTATTCTGTTAATATGGTTCATCACATTGGTTGGTTGAGTGGGGGATTTTTTGGTTTGGGGGTAAATGTGTGCACGTGTGTGTTTTGCTTTGTTTTCGGTGTTAAATCRAATTTGCATTCCTGGGGTAAACTTTGCTTGTTCACCAAGTATTTTTCTTATTATTCTTGGGGATTTGTTTCTATGAGACATTTGTTTCTATTTTGTTTCATGAGGTATATTGGCCTGTAAATCTTCTTTTCTGTAATGTGTTTATCATGTTTTGGCATTGCAATTATTCAAACTTCATAAAATGTGTTGAAAAGTGTTCTCACTTTCACTATTCCCTGGTAGAACATAAGATTTGTATTATTGCTTCTTTAAAGATTTGGAAAAGTTCACCAGTACAGCATCTGGAGTTTTCTTTTGTGAGGAGATTCTTAATTACAAATTCAACTTCTTAAAGACAATGGACAACTTGGATTTCCTATTACGTCTTATGTTAATGTTGGTAGCTTGTATTTTTTGTATTTTTTTAATTTGTTCTTTTTAGGTATACATGGCAGTGAAGTGTATTTTGACATATTTACACAAACATGGAGTACTTCTTATTCTAATTAGGATCTCAGTCTCGTGGTTGTACATGATGTAGAGATTCAACTGTGGTGTATTTACATATGTACGTAGGAAAGTTATGTCAGAATCATCGCACTCTTTTTTATTCCTGGGTCCTCTCTCTTCCCTTCATTCTTTTTTAGATTTTTTTTAGATTCCCTTTGTCTAATCTACTGAACTTCTATTCTTCCCGACCCGACCTAGTTGTGCGTTAGCATCCACATGTCAGAGAGAATGTTCAACCTTTGTCTTTTGGGGATTACCTTAGTTTTTTTAGCATAATAGTCTCCAGATCCATCCATCTACTGCCAAATATCATAAAGTCATTCTTCTTTATGGCTGAGGAGTATTCCATTGTGTTTATCTACCACATTTTCTTTATCCACTCATCTGTGGAAGGGCACCTAAGTTGCTTCCACAGCTTAGCTCCTGTGAATTGAGCTGCTGTGAACATTGATATAAACATTACTATAAACTACATTGGCTGTGTCATGGTAGTATGCTTTGGCTTTATACTGAGGAGTGGGATAACTGGGTCAAATGGTGGTTCCATTCCAAGTTTTTCAAGTAATTTGTCCATTTCACTCAAATTTTATTGTCAAAATATTATTCATGGGCTGGGGTTGTGGCTCAGTGGTAGAACGCTCGCCTAGCACATGAGAGGCCCTGGGTTAGATCCTCAGCACCACATAAAAATAAATAAATAAAATAAAGGTATTTTCCAACTACAACTTAAAAATAAATATTTTTTTAAAAATATATTATTCATGAACTCCTATTATCTTTCAATATCTAAGATCTATAGCAACATCTACTCTACCCACATAATTTATTCTCATTGGTAATTTGTGTTTCTCTCTCATTCTTGATCAGTCTTGCTATGGGTATATTAATTTTATTAAAGTTTTCTAAGGATCAGTTTGGGTTTTATTGATTTTTCTCTATTAGATCTTCATTGTCTCACTGGTTTTTACTCTTTTTAACATTATTTCTTTCCATTCTCTAAATTTGTTTTAATTTGACTTTTTCTTGCTTCTTATTCAAATCATTGATTTTTACAACCCTTTTTTTTAACATATGAATATAAGACTATAAATCTCCT